TTAGATTCTCATCAGTGTGTGTTTTGTCACACTGAATCACGGAATCAGTGTAAGATTGGTAAGAAGAGATAGTTTGCGTGTGATAGATCTTGGTGTTTGATCTAACCATCGGAAAAATTTTTAGATTTTCTCATCAGTGTGTGTTTTGACACACTGAATCATGGAATCAGTGTAAGATTGGTAAGAAGAGATAGTTGCGTGTGATAGATCTTGGTGTTTCGATCTAACCATCGCAAAGAGTTTCAAGTGGTTATCAGTGTAATGGTTTAAATACAGTGAATCATTCATTTAGTTAAGAAGAGTTGAAGAAGAGAGAAAGATAGGAGATCAAACCAAGTACTTAGTATGCAAATATCATCAGCATGTCATCATCAGCAAAATGGACATCAGCTTATAAGACAATACCAAACATTAGCAAAATTAATCAGCAAAATTAATTACAAGGTGATCATTCCAAGTTCTCCAATAATGTAAGCAGTTGTTTGAGAATCCAGTGCCTTAGTGAAGATATCAGCAAGTTGTTCTGAATTCATGACATGTTCAAGAACAATCTTTCCTTTCAACGTTATTTCTGATGAAATGATGTCTGATTTCGATATGCTTTGTTTTTTTAGTGCTGAACAGGGTTTTGTGTGATTTGAATGGCACTGGTGTTATCACAATATATGGGAGTCTTTGAGAACTTGATCCATAGTCGAAAAGCTGATTTTGAATCCATAAGAGCTGAGCACAACATCTCCCAGCTGCAACATACTCTGCAGTCGAGATGGCTACTAATGTTTGCTTCTTGCTAGACCAGCTGATGAGACGATTTCCAAGGAAGTGACATCCACCAGACGTACTTTTTTTTGTTTAAGTTGCATCCTGCATAGTCGGAATCAGTGTATCCAAAGAGTTCGAATGCTGAGTCGCGAGGATACCACAGTGCTAGATTTTGAGTTCCTTTTAAGTATCGAAAGATACGTTTGACGGCCATGAGATGGGATTCCTTGGGATTAGCTTGGAATCGAGCACAGAGAATGGTTCCAAACATGATGTCAGGATGACTTGCCGTGAGATATAAAAGAGATCCAATCATTCCTCGATACAGAGAGTGATTGACATCAGTTCTAGTTGGATCAGAGTGAATCTTGTCAGTCTTGGAAACTGGAGTAGAGGCTGATTTGCAGTCACTGAGAGAATACTTAACAAGCAAGTCAGAAATATATTTACTTTGACAAATAGAAATACCTGACTTTTTTTGTTGAACTTCAAGACCTAAGAAAAAGGTCATCTTTCCCATCATGCTCATATCGAACCTTTGAGACATGATCTCTGCAAATTCCTTGCTCAGTGTCTCATTTGGAAAGCCAAAAATGATGTCATCGACATAGATTTGAACAAGAACCATGTCTGAGCCTTTGTTTTTGATGAAGAGAGTATTGTCGATTGCTCCTCGTCTGTATCCATTTTCAAGAAGATACGATGTCAGCGTCTCATACCAAGCCCTGGGTGCTTGCTTCAGTCCATAAACAGCTTTGTCTAATCGGTACACATAATCAGGGTGATCTTTGTCAACAAAGCCTGGGGGCTGATTGAGGAAAACTTCTTCTTCTAACACACCATGAAGATAGGCTGTTTTCACATCCATCTGATAGACAATGAAATTCATGTAGGATGCGTATGTGAGAAACAGTCTGATCGCTTCAATGCGAGCAACTGGAGCAAAGGTTTCTCCGTAGTCGATGGATTCAATTTGAGTAAACCCTTGAGCGACAAGCCTTGCCTTGTTGCGAGTAATGATTCCATCTTTATCAACCTTGTTGCGATAGACCCAACGAGTTCCGGTGATAGTCTTTCCTGATGGTCTTGGGACAAGAGTCAAAACTTTGTGCCTTTCAAACTCATTCAGTTCTTCTTGCATGGCTTTAATCCAGTTAGCATCTTAAAGAGCTGTGTGTATCTTGTCAGGTAAGATCATTGAAACGAAATTAACATACATGCAAAAGTTATTAGAAACACGAGATTTGGTTCGGACACCATCATGAATATTCCCAATAATTTGATCGACAGGATGATATCGATGTTCAGAGACTGATGCTGATTCCGAAGAATTTGACACTGACAATGACAGGTTATCAGTTGTAGGAGAATCTTCAGCTTCAAGAGTTTCATCAGCACCTAATGAATTATTTGATGATCTGGCTGCAGTATCTTGATTCAAGGACCATGGAACTGGAACGATAGAATCAAAAATATCAGCTTCATCTCCAGCAAGAGGAGCTTCGTCAAATGGGCAAGAGAGAAGCTCTTGAAAAATAGAGGAAGAATGAGTGACTCTTTCATCAGTGTATGATTCCTCATCAAACTTCACATGAATTGATTCTTCAATGCATTGCCTGTTCATATGAAAAACACGAAAAGCCTTTGAAATAGATGAGTATCCAACAAAAATACCTTTATCAGCTTTAGGTTCAAATTTAGATCTTGGGTCACGCTGATTTAGAATATAACAAATACATCCGAACACGTGAAAGAAGGATACGTCTGGCTTTCGACTTTTCAGCATTTTATATGGTGTTTTCTTATGAATCCTGTGAATTAAAGATCGATTTTGCGTAAAGCACGTTGTATTGACAGCTTCACCCCAAAATGACATGGGAAGACCAGCATGAATCATTAAGGTCCTTCCTGCTTCAATCAGTGTTCTATTTCTTCGTTCAGCAATTCCATTTTGTTGAGGAGTATGAGGAGCTGAGAAGTTTTGCCCAATGCCTTTATGATCACAAAATTCTTCAAGAGTTGAGTTTCGGAACTCAGTACCATGATCACTTCTCAATTGCTTAACTTTGAGACCTGTCATTGTCTCATTTTTGCGAATCAGTGAGATAATTTCCTGTGCACCATGACTTTTCTTCTTCAGGAATACCACCCATGTAAATCGAGTGAACTCATCCACAACCACTAGAGTATACTTATTTCCACCTAGAGAACGGACAGGAATAGGTCCAAATAAGTCCATGTGGAGTAAATGAAGAGGGACTGATATACTGGAACATGACTTGGGTTTGAAAGAGGACTTGGTTTGTTTTCCTTGTTCACAAGCTGAGCACATCTTGTCTTTCACAACGCTGAATTTTGGGAGCCCTCTAACTAGATCTTGATTGGATATTTTGGATAGGTCCTTGAAGTTCAGATGAGAGAACCTTTTGTGCCAAATCCAGCTAAGATTGGTCTGAGACTTTGTAAAGAAGCATTGCATCAGCGCCTTGTCACTTAAGAACATATCAAGAACATATATATCATCTTTTCTACTTGCTTAAAGTACGATGTTCTTGTCAGTGTTGACAACTCTACCTTCCTTCTTTGTAAAGTGAACTTCATAGTCAGCATCACACAATTGACTGATGGAGATAAGGTTGTGTTTGAGACCCTTTACATATGAAACATTTTGAAAAAACATGTTATTGCATTTGATATTTCCATATCCTTTAGTGAACCCCTTTCCATTGTCTCCATAAGTTACTGCAGGACCATTTTTCTTGACATAATCTTCCAGGAGAGACTTTGATCCTGTCATATGTCTTGAGCAACCACTATCTAAGTACCAAAGATGCTCCTGACCCTGCAGTGCTGAGAAACTAGTTAGAACATACTGACCCATTCAAGGATGGGTCATTCACAAAGTTATATGATAATAGATTATAACACTCCTTAGGAAGACAGTTTAAAGAATTTGACTTAAGAGTCCATTTTTCATTTCTAACTTTAATATTATCAGCTCTTAAAGATGATTTATCAAATGAACATTCACTAATCTTATGAGAGGTATCACCACATTTGTAACAAACTCTAGTACCAAAGTTCCTCTTGGTAGGCAATTTTTTGGACTTAACACATTTCGACTTGTAAGATTCACCAAGAGAGCTTTGTGTCCTTTTGTTTATTATTGAATCACAACAGAATTCAGTGTTAGGCAAATTATGATCAGTGATAGACGATGAGCTATCATCAGTGTCTGATTTGGACTTATTCACAATTGCATTGCAATCAGGAAAATGCTTAAGTTGTTCATGAACAGCATGAAACACTCCATTTGAGATAGGATAAGCAATAATATTCTCAGTGAGAGGAGTTGGTCTTACAAGATGTGCAGGGAAAGAGGTTGGGTCAACTCCGGTAATTTCAACATTACACTCAGTAACACCATTAGAGTTAGTAACACAGTATTCATCAATTAAACTCTAATTAATAAAAGAGTTACTGACAAACTTATTTTTGAAATTGTTTTTCATCTCATTCATGGAATGAAATTCAGATTCCTTTTCTTGTGATTTAAAAGCCTTTTCAGCTTCTGCAAAATTACCCCCAAGAATTTTCTCACATGAGTGTGGAATTTGAGCAGAAATAATATAATTTGCATTCTTGTGAGATTTTACCCAAGTATGAAGCACAGTTTGTTCTTTGATCAAAAGATCTTTAACATTATCAATTTCAGCAGACAAAGATGAATTTGACAAATTAGTGATTCGAAGATTTTCCTGAGTGGAATCAATAAGGTTATTTTTCATGGATATTTCAGTTTTAAGAAGATCAAGTTGATTTTGCAAGTCCCTTATTGTTTGATTCTTCTTAGAATTAATGACACCCAAATACTCAAAAATTTTGATTTTTTCATTCATTGAATAGGAAACAAAGTTTTTAACCTGATACATTGAAGGAGAGTCAGTGTTGTGCTTCTTGGATTTTTCAACTGCATCAGACATATCAGCATCAAATGTACTTGTGCCTTTTTCAGGAACATCCGTGTCTTCTATCTTTACCATTAGACACTTGACTTCATCATCTGATGACTCCTCATCAGTCTTCCAATTTTCTTCTTCAGCAACTAGAACTTTATGTTCCAAGTTTTCTGCTTTCAGTTTCTCAATCAGCTTGTTGTACTTCTGCTTCTAGTATTCATCCGAGCCTTGTTTTTTTTGTTTACATTCCATTGCAAAATGATCAGTGCTCCCACAGTTAAAGCACTGAGCCTTCCCTTTCTTATCAGCACCATGCCTTTTATCAGCATTTGATCCTTTTGAAAACTTTCCTCCCATCTTCTTCTGAAACTTTGAGAAGTTTCGGCCTGATTTCTCAAAAGTCTTTACAATCAAAGATGCACTAGCCACAACCTTTTCAAGATCATCAGTGTCAGTTTTAGAGGAATCAGTATCTGAATAGCTTTCAGTGTCTGAATCTGACACTAGCTTTTTGTTTGAGAACAAAGCTACAGATGATTCACGCTGAGAATCCTTCATCAGCTCCTTTCTTTGAAGCTTGGATTCCTCATAGTATCGAAGATTTCCATAGAGACTTTGTAAGTCTATAGTATTGATCTTCTCACTATTTTTCAGCACATCAACATGGTTCTCCCGACCTGCACCCAGAGAATCCAAAAACTTCTGCACTAGAACAGTTCTATGCTTCAACTGATCTAATCTCCGCAAATCATTAACAATAGTATTGAATCTGTTAAAGGTTTGAGTCAAAGTTTCACCTTTCTTTGCAAAAAAATGTTCATACCTTCTAATAAGATCATTTATTTGAGTGGCCTTGACTTCTTCAGTGCCTTCAAACGACACAGTCAGAGTATCCATCATCTCTTTTGTTGAGATGCAATTCTGAACCAACCTAAAGATATTATATGGTAGAGCATAGCTGATTGCAGCACGAGCACGAACATCTAGACCATGTTTTCTTTTGTCATCTACCGTCCAGTTTTCTTTAGGTGTTTTCTTCATAGCACCATCAGGAACGTTATTTTTTAGAGGTTGATGCATCGGGACGTATGGACCATTTTCGACGATGTCCAACATGTCTTCATCTACTGACTCTAAAGCATATAGAGCCTTTATTTTCCACATGGAAAAATTTGTTTCATCAAACGGAGGAATTTTAGCGGAAGGATGATTTGATGAGTTCGACGAAGAAGAAGATGAAGCCATTTGTTTGATAAAAGAAACCCGCTCTGATACCAATTGAAAAGGCCTTTAGATCAATCAATTTATCCAATTGATACAAAATATTAGGGTTTGTGAAAGGCGTAGTGTTTCACAAACCGATAAAAAAGATTATATACTACTATACTAGACAATCCCTACAAACCAGGGATATGCCAGCTAACAAATTTAAGCTAACAATGGAAACACGATAAGTATAAAATATGTTACAATGCACTAACTAAACTAAACAAGCTGAGCTGCTGACACGCTGATGCTGACACTGAGATCTATTTGAAACATCATCATATTTCAAGGTTTGACCTTACACACATATTGGGGATTTAAGCCCCCGGACTCGCCGAGTTCCAAGAACAACTCGTCGAGTCGCCTATTGTCCAAGTCTATAACTCGATTTCTGGCGTACAACTCTCATTCAGAATGTAGATTTGGGCTTCTAAGATCGATCTAGCACATAAAGTTATGAAGTTTACGTGCATGCATGGAAGTATAGGCTTTAAGGACCCAAAATGAGGTCTAAAGGGAGTGCATGGGCTAATATGGCCGTAAAGCTTGCATCTTTATGCCATTAACTTGGTTATAGAGTCTAGATCTGAAGGTGATTCAACTTGGGACGTCCAAGTCTTAAGGATCAAGCTTATTGACCCTAAAAATCCATAAAGGGGCAAAGGAGAAAATCTATAAAACCACAAGTCAAGTTTTGAGCTTGAATACCTGAAAGTGAAGAGAAAATTATGTTGCTCTCTGATCTAGTCCTTCCCCCTAGTCCTTCTTCCTTCCAACTCTTCTACTAGATACATAATGCACTAAAAACCCTCCAAGTCACTAAGAAAGCTCAAGTTTGCCAAGAGGGAATTAGGGTTTCGAAAGTAATGCTCTGGAGGTGGTGGAGGTTAGACCTGAAGCTCATAATGTTGTTTAAATATGGTGTAAACCCTTTAATTAGGGTTTCATCCAAACCGGCCTACTCGTCGAGTCCAAGCGTAGACTCGGTGAGTAGATTACTTACACCCGCGTCCCAAACTTGCATTTACTCGACGAGTTAGGGCTGCCACTCGTCGAGTCACTAATACAAATGATATAAAAGTAGATCAATTACGTACCAAAAATGGGGCGTTACATAACTCACATCACTAAGATTCCCACAAAGCACAAAGCAAACAGCATTCGGACAATGGAAAATCTAACCATCATATTCCAATCAACCCATTCTATCCTCTACTCAGGAATCTATACATGCAATTCAAAGGATCATACAATTAGGCATAACCTAAGCGGGCTATCCCATCACTGATTGATCGGTACTATCATGCAGCTCATTAAGCACATATAACAGATATATAAGGCATCTTCCTAGATCCTTAGCCCTAATCTAGCATGCAATTCTCATACACATGCAGTAGGT